GTGTGTGTCTGTGTGTGCTTGTGTGTTTTAAAGCTTTATTTATTTTGAAGGTGAGACTTACAGAGAGAGGGAAAGAAAGAGAAAGGGAGAGAGAGAGAATCTTCCATCCACTGTTTACTCCCCAGATGGCTGCAATGGCCGGGGCTAGGCCAGACTGAAGTCAGGAGCCAGGAGTTGAGTGGCAGGGGCCCAAACACTTGGGCCATCTTCTGCTGCTTTTCCAGGTCCTTAGCAGAGAGCTGGACTGGAAGTGGAGTAGCTGGGATGTGAACTGGTGCCCATATGGGATGCTGGCATCGTGGGCAGCACCTTTCTTTGCTGTGCCACAATGCTGGCCCCTGTACCGTGTGTTTTTAGAAGTGAGAAGGATTTTGAGTGTCTACCACAAAGAAACACATTTGAGTAGAAATGTGTACTCTGATTTTAACATTACATACTGTATACATGTACTGGAACATCACATGGTAGCCTAAAATATTTGCAATTTTATTATGTCATTTTTTATTTATTTATATATTATCTTTAAAGATTTATTGATTTTAAAGTCAGAGCTACAGAAACAGAGGGGGAAAGAGAGAGACACAGAGAATTTTCTATCCAGTTGTTTATTACCTAGCTGACTGCAATGGCCAGGGCCAGCAGCTTCATCCAAGTCTCCCATGTGGGTAGCAGGGTCCCATGTACTTGGGCCATCCTACATTGCTGTTCCCAGGCCATTAGCAGGGAGCTGGATCAAAAGTGGAGCAGCTGGGACTCGAACCGGCACCCATACAGGATGCTAGGGTCACAGGTGGCTGCTTAACCCACTACGCCACAACGCCAGCCATTATGTCACTTTTTTTTTTTTTTTTTTTTTGACAGGCAGAGTGGACAGTGAGAGAGAGAGACAGAGAGAAAGGTCTTCCTTTGCCGTTGGTTCACCCTCCAATGGCCACCGCGGCTGGCGCGCTGCGGCCGGCGCACCGCGCTGATCCGATGGCAGGAGCCAGGAGCCAGGTGCTTTTCCTGGTCTCCCATGGGGTGCAGGGCCCAAGCACTTGGGCCATCCTCCACTGCACTCCCTGGCCACAGCAGAGAGCTGGCCTGGAAGAGGGGCAACCGGGACAGAATCCGGCGCCCCAACCGGGACTAGAACCTGGTGTGCCGGCGCTGCAAGGCGGAGGATTAGCCTAGTGAGCCGTGGCGCCGGCCTATGTCACTTTTTAAAAAGACTAAGGCAAGCACAGTAAACCATTCGAGGCATTTAGCAAAGAATTATTTAAGAATTGGAATATTCAAATTTTGCATTTTTTAAATTAAGGCTATCATTTTTAAAGTTTTGGGGTAGACATGTAACTGTTATTTCTCCTGAAATATATGGAGTCTTCCACTGAGAACCAATTTACCTATTATAAAAAATTACTGGGGGAAAAAAAAAGCCGTGGCTCACTTCTCTACTTGCGGTGCCGGCACCCTGGGTCGGGGCGCCAGATTCTGTCCTGGTTGCTCCTCTTCCAGTCCAGCTCTCTGCTGTGGCCCGGGAGTGCAGTGGAGGATGGCCCAAGTGCTTGGGCCCTGCACCGCATGGGAGACCAGGAGAAGCATCTGGCTCCTGGCTTTGGATCTGCGCAGCGCCGGCCGCAGCGTGCTGGCCGTAGCAGCCATGTTAGGGGGTGAACCAACGGCAAAGGAAGACCTTTCTCTCTGTCTCTCTCTCTCACTGTCCACTCTGCCTGTCAAAAAAAAAAAAAAAAAAATTACTGGGGCTGGCACTGTGGTGCAGGAGGTTAATCCACTGCCCGTGGCGCCGGCATCCCATATGGGTGCCGGTTCTAGTCCCGGCTGCTCCTTCCAATCCAGCTCTCTCCCGTAGCCCAGGAAAGCAGTGGAGGTTGGCCCAAGTGCTTGGGCCCCTGCACCCACATGGAAGACCAGCAGAAGCACCTGGCTCCTGGCTTTGGATCAGCACAGCTCCAGCCGTTGCAGCCATCTGGGGAGTGAACCAGCGGACAGAAGACATTTCTCTCTGTCTCTCCCTCTCACTATCTGTAACTCTACCTCTCAAATAAATAAATAACATATTTTAAAAATTACCTTTACATTTATATAAAAATTTATAGTTGCATATGCATTTTTTTTAATTTTAAAAATTGTAATGCAGTTCAAAGTGGTTTCTCTGGTCCACTTCAGCTCCTTCACTGCCAGGCCTTGGGGATGGGACTACTTCGGCTCCTCCGCCTTCTCCATCTTCGTGCATGATGACCAGTGTAGTGCTGGCGTAGAGGGTAAAGCTACGGCCTGCAGTGCCAGTATTCCATATGGGTGCCAGTTCGAGTCCTGGCTGCTCCCCTTCATATCCAGCTTTCTGCTGTGGCCTGTGAAAGCAGTGGAAGATGGCCCAAGTGCTTGGGCTCCTGTACCCATGTAGGAGACCGGAAGAAGCTCCTGGCTCCTGGCTTCGGATCGGCACAGCTCTGGCTCAAAGACTTGGGCCATCTTCCTCTGCTGCTTTCCCAGGCACATTAGTAGGGCGCGGGATCAGAAGTGGAACAGCCAGGGCTTGAACTGGAGCCCATTTGGGATGATGGTATTGCAGCTCCAAGTAGATGGGTTTTTTCCAAAGTTTTCTTTTTTTTAGAGAGTGTGAGAGAGAGAGAGAGAAATACCTTCCAGAGGAAGAGACAGAGAGAAGGAGATCTGTTTCATCACTGGTTCAGTTCTCAAATGGCCACCACAGGAAGGTCTGGGCGGAGGAAAGCCAGAGCCAGGGACCGCACCGTGGTCTCTACATGGTGTCAGGGTGACCAAGTACCTGCACACGAGCAGGGAGCTCGCTCAGACCGGAGCAGCCGCTGCCTGCAGGGGAGGGGGACCTGCTGCACCACCACCCCGGTCCCCAGTAGGGACCCTGATACTCACTCCTCTTCCTGCATCTCAGGGGTCCCCCCCAGCCGCTGCCCAGCGATGGGGACAGAGTGATTCAAGGGCTCACACTGCCAAAGGCAGCAACAGGGCCTGTTTCAATTCCTGTTTTTAAATTTTCACAAACAAAATACTTTTAAAATGGGACGCTTTGGGGGACTTTTCAGTCTGCTGAGTGAGTACTGGAAACAGCCAGAGGTGCCCACAGTTCTGTCACTCAGCAGGACGCGGTAATCACCGCAGGGGTTCTCAACGGCTTTTACTCTTAGCCATGTGACATCTGTAGGCCCGATGGGCTCCTGAATTGCAACGGGAGGGGAAAACACGGTGGCGAGAGGAAAATATTAAAATACTATCTAACAAGTGGCCGGCGCTGTGGCACAGCAGGTAAAGCCACCGCCTGCAGTGCCAGCATCCCATATGGGCGCCAGTCGAATCCCGGCTGCTCCAATTCCAATCCAGCTCTCTGCTATGGCCTAGGAAAGCAGTAGAAGATGGCCCAAGTGCTTGGGTCCCTGCACCTGCGTGGGAGACCTGGAAGAAGCTCCTGGCTCCTGGCTTCAGATCAGAGCAGCTCCAGCTGTTGTGGCCATCTGGGGAGTGAACCAGTGGATGGAAGCCTCTCTCTCTCTCTTTCTCTCTCTCTGCCTCTCCTCTTTCTGTGTAACTCTGACTTTCAAATAAAAAAAAAGCTATCTAGCAAAGCATTGAAACCTGCATCTTTGGCTCGGGGCGGTCTTTGCCGTATCCACTCATTTCACTTAGTACAAGATACATAATATTAAAAGTCAAGATACAGTGGTGAGTACACTAATTGCAGTTTTCATTTACTGGAAGCAAATCCGCCACGTGCCACTCACAAACAACAAGAAGCCTTTCATCACCGAGAAACAAGACACTCAAATCACCGAAAAAAATGAATTTTTAAAACAAAAACTGCAATAATTTCAAACATCAGTCACAAAAGCAGTTTTTGCTGAGCTTCAATCCTGCAAGGTGTGGTTTTCGGTATGGAAATGGAGAACTATTCTATATCCCAAATCAGGCTTTTTCCCTACACTTTGTAACTACCTGTTGAGCAGGAAAATAATTAAAATTTGTCAAAAGAGAAAAGTCTACTCAGAAAGTCTCGGGTATCTGTAAGTTGAGTTTTAGTTCCCGTAGACACAAAAACCGATGAAATGTTCCTGCGTGGGCTCATGGAAGTCACAGGAGCTCGCGATTCAACACAAGGCGCGGGCGCTCTGCACACCGTCCACGCCGCGTTGTACACGGCGCGCTCCCCGTGCACCTGCTGGGACGGGAGCCAGTTCTTCAGGCACTGCCCCAGGCGGTTCCACCCGCCCACGGGCGCGGCCCAGGCCGTCGCGTGGAGCCAGCCAGCTCCTTAGAAACAGAATGTTAGGAAAAAAAAAAAAAAAACTTTAGTTCACGGCCGCAGTGAGAACACCTGGCGAAGCCAGCGGCGAACACCAACACTAACCCTGCGTGAACAGAAGCGAAATCCTCCCATTTTCCCTGCTTCTGTCTTTAACGGCGCCGATGAGCGAAAGCACAAGCAGAACGGAACACATCAAGCGCAGAACGAACCGTCAGTGTGGGTTACAGTGAGGAGGAAGGCCGCCGCCGCTCCACCGACAGCCAGAGCAGTACAGCGTCCGGACTACAACTCCCAGAGTGCCCTGGGGCTGAGGCGGCGATACCTTCCAATTGATTACTTTTCATCCAATGACAGTCACAGAACTGACAAGCCACTTCCGGTCACCGCAGGGAGGGGTGGAGGACGAGTCCCATCGTGTTTCCAACCCAGCATTCGTAGTTGTTGTATGCCTGGTTCTTTGGCATTACCGTCACCCTCACAATCCTCTACTCCGCGCCAGCGCTGGCTTCTATAACCGCCTTAGGTAGTCAAGCGGCGCAGGCGCGGGACCAGGTTTCTTCCTGCTCTCTTATTGGCCGCGCTCCAGATGGCTTAAGTCTTCGCAACAAATAGGATGGTTGAAACTCGTTACGTCACGTAGGAGGCGGTGCGGTGTGGCGTAGGCGTAGGCGCAGGCCAGCGGCGGGCAATTTCCTAGCGGCCCGCCTCTATCGCTTCTTCCGGGTATGGCCCGCCTCTCTGCTGCCGACCAATCCTCTGTAGCTTCCTTTGCGCGTCTACCCAATCAGAGCGACAGGGGGCGGAGTTCCGGTCGTCGGCTGTAACCCCGAGCGGATCTCGCGTTTCTCCAGCTCCGAGTGGGAGCTTGCTGCTGAGGTACATTCTGCTGGGCCGGGCCGGGCTGGGCGACGTTTCCGGGGTGGGCAGCTCCGTCTCCGGCGTCCGTGTGGGTCGAGTCCGGAAGGCGGGAACCGGAGGCGCCGGGAGGAGCGGGCGCGCGCTGCGGCGGGGTCGGAGCTCCCGCGGTTCCCGCGTGGCGGGCGGGTTGGTGCGGGGTTCCCGCGCGGCCCGCAGACGCGGCGGGAGGCGGGCTTTCCCGTGGGTTACGGGCGGGACGCCCAGCGGGAGAGGGTGTGGAGGGCAGCCGCCCCTGTGGCGACGGCGTTTCGTGCAGCGGCGGTCGCGGCCACCGTGGACTCGCGGCGGGTTCGGGCGCTGCCCCTTCAGTTCGCCGCGCACTGCTTCGACCGAGGTGAAATTAAAAGTTGGCAACTTGTAAAACGCTGCTCGCGGCTTCTTTCCTGACCCGACGTTGTTTAGAGCACCCATGCGCGCCGTCTGGAAGTGAATTAATTCACTTAGCGAGGTAGGCTGACCTCCTAGACACATCCGAGTTAAGAAGCGAGTTGTTCAGCCTCCACTGAAGTGGAGACCACACCAAAGTTGATTACTTGGCGGATCCAGGGAGGTAATAGCTATAAAATGTGGCTACGCGTGAACCCCATACGGCCGTTTCTGCTTCTTAAATATTTTTTTTTCTTATTTACTTGAAAGGCAGACGGGCAGGTCTTCAGTCTGCAGGTTCACGGCCCCGATGGCCAGGGCTGGGCCAGACGGAAGCCAGGATCTGCATCCGGGTCTCCCACGTGGGTGCAGAGGCCCAAGCACTTGGGCCATCTTCTGCTGCTTTCCCAGGCCATAGCAGAGAGCTGGATCGGAAGTGGAGCAGCCGGGACTCGAACCGGCGCCCGGCTGTGATGCCAGCACTGCAGGCCAGGGCGTTAACCTGCTGCGCCACAGCGCCGGCCTCTGCTCTTCAAATTCTTTTCCTAAACTATCATTTGAACTCACTCCACAGAATAAAACTCAAAAGGAGCCTAGTACCGCTTAGATGAAATACAGTCGGGCCTCTGCATTGTTTGGTTCTGTGTCCATGGCGTCCAACAATTATTTAAGAAGGAAAACCCTTGTCTGTACTAAGCGTGTGCGGATTTGTTTTCTTGTCTTTGTTCCTTGAGCAGTATCGGGTAAGATAGCATTTCCGTGGTATTGGATATGGGAAGAGTGAGGTATGCGGGGGGATGTGCTTAGGCTCCGTGCAGATACACAGTTAGTGTAAGGGATTTGAGCATCTGTGCAGTTTGGTAGGGGAGGTGTTTTTTTTTTTTTTTTTTTTTAAGATTTATTATTCAAGAGTTAAGAGAGGGAGAGATCGTCCATCTTCTCGTTTACTCCCCAGAAGGCCATGAGGCCCAGGACTGGGCAGACAGGAGCCAGGAGCTTCATGTGGGAGGTCTCCTGTGTGAGTGGCAGGGGCCTAAGCACTCAGGGTGTCTTCCACTCCTTCTCCCAGGCCATTAGCAGGGAGCTGGATCAAAGTGGAGCAGCCGGGACACGGACAGGTGCCCACATGGGGTGCTGGCATTGCAGGCGGTGACTTTACCTGCTACGCCACAGTGCCAGTCCTGTGGTGAGATTTTTTTTAAAGCAGTCCCCATGAGTTTGTAGGACTGGACAACTGAGGCCTCTGGTGCCTGTGTCTGCTTGCCCGAGATTCAGGACAGCATTCCCTGTGAGTGCAGAAGTGTTTGATTACTAAATCTGTAGCAGACTAATTTTTCAGATGTTAATTTTGTGTGGCCCGGGAATGATGTTATAAATATCCACACAGCCCTTGGCAGTAAGAAGGTTCCGCACGCTGCCTGGGGAGAGAGACCACTGTTTATTCGGGGGCTTCCTGTAATTCCCCTTCATGTGGTCATGGGTGCTGTTTAAGCATGACCTCGGGTGATGGGAGCTGATTGTAAGGAAACCATTCAGACATTCACAGACCAGGTCCCTTTGCTCCTGAGGACACAGTGCAGGCGTCACAGGGAGCTGTGCTGATGGTCCCGCCTCACTGGGAATGTGAGTGCTAGTCCCCTCCAGGCCCCTGCGACTGCAGTTTCTCGTCATGTCTTCTGAAGCAGCCCACCATCCCTGTCTCACCCCTGGCTGGCTGGCGTCATTTCCGGGAGACGGGACCTGGCTGAGCTGGGTTTGTCGCCAGCTGCAACAGTACAGATATGTTGGATAAGATAATGTATGAAAAAGATCCCAGTGCCAGCTCGGCATCCGACTCTGATCTAATCGGTACTGCTCTGTGTGGTTTTAGCTGTAGGAAGGGCCAGCATGGAGGACATCTCAGTGGCCGGGTGTGGCAGTGACTGTCCTTACCTACCTCACATTCCACGTCTCACGTCCCCACGCAGTCAGCCTCACGCCCAGTGGGTGATCTGGTGTGCTCGCAGTCTGCTGTCACTGACGGATCTAGCCCGCTGCTTAACAATGTGCCCTCAGCGCTTCGTTTGCAGCCACTCTCCACCATCATCCAGATGTCTCTCAGCACAGCCCTAGTAAACAAACTTATTTTCACGCTGGCTGCAGACCTGAGCCGTTACCAGGTTCGCAGGAAAAGCCTCACATCCCTTACCCTGATGGAGCCTGGGTGCACTGGCTGTAAATAGTGCAGTGACTCCAGTCTTACTATATTTGAGCAGGTAGCCAGCCATGACTTTAGACTTTGACCATGGGTCCTGCATGAACAGAGTTACAGGGGACCAAGTTATTCTCATGCATGGCAAAGTGGAGACAGCAAAAACAATGAAACAAAAAATCCATGATATTTCCAGAAACAAACTTTTTCCTTATAACTAAAAATTTACGGAGGGACAAAGAGAGCGTCCATCTATTGATTCACTCCCCAAATGCCTGCAGAGCCAGGGCTGGGGCAGCTAAAGCTGGGAGCCAGGATCTGCATCCGAGTCTCCCATGTGGGTGGCAGCAGCTCTGTTTCTTGAGCCAAAACCTACTGCCTTCCAGGGTCTGCATTAGCAGGAAGGTGGAGTCAGGAGTCAGATTTAGGCTTCAGATTCCCAGGTGCTTCTACGTGGGACATTAGGGAATCCTTCATAAACACCTCGAAAAGGAAAAATAAAAAATTTAAACCTCTTTACTCTGGTGCTTTTATTCCCACAGAATGGGTGTCCAGTTAACTACAAAACTAGTTTGGGTTTGTCTCGTTGGCAAGCCCAGTGTGAGCAGTCTGCCACCTAACTGGGATGAGGATGTGGTATGGAATTTATCGGCCACAACAATTTTATTTTTTGTGTGTATAGCGGGGCTTATTAGGAGTTTTCTCCTTCCTTCCTTCCTTCCTTCCTTCCTTCCTTCCTTCCTTCCTTCCTTCCTTCCTTCCTTCCTTCCTTCCTTCCCTCCCTCCCTCCCTCCCTCCCTCCCTCCCTCCCTCCCTCCCTCCCTCCCTCCCTCCCTCCCTCCTGAGGCAGAGTTAGACAGTGAGAGAGAGAGACAGAGAGAAAGGTCTTCCTTCCGTTGGTTCACCCCCCAAATGGCCACTATGGCTGGCGTGCCGATTCGAAGCCAGGAGCCAGGTGCTTCCTCCTGGTCTCCCATGCGGGTGCAGGGCCCAAGGACCTGGGCCATCCTCCACTGCCCTTCCAGGCTACAGCAGAGAGCTGGACTGGAAGAGGAGCAACCGGGACAGAATCTGGGGTGCCGGTGCCACAGGCGGAGGATTAGCCTAGTGAGCCGCAGTGCCGACCAGGAGTTTTCTTGATCTTTTAATTTTTCCTTTTTAATCATCTCCAGTAACCCAGATGTAAGTTAGTTTACTTAAATGTTCACATTGAATTCACTAGTCAAGTTGCCTAGTTTAGTTTTAAAATAAACTTTAGTGATTGACAGGCATGATATAGAAGTGATTTTTAAAAAATACTTATTTATTTGAAAGGCAGAATGGGACAGAGATCTCCTATCTGCTGGTTCACTCCCCAGATGCTGGCAACAGTCAGAGCTAGGCCAGGCCAAATCCAGGAGACCGTACCTTACTCTGGCATTCCCATGTGGATAGCAGGGACCCAAGTACTTGAGCCTCCAGGGTTCACACTAGCAGGGAGCTGGACCAGAAACAGGAGCCAGGACTCAAGTCAGGCATTGGGGTATGGGGGATGTGGGCATCCCAAGCAGTGTCTTAACCACTGTGCCAAACATCCACCCCAGAAATGATCTTATTTAACTCTCTTAAATTTTTATTATGTTTTAAAGATTTTATTTTATTTATTTGAAAGGTAGAGCCACAGAGAATGGGAGAGACAGAGATCTTCCTTCTGGTTCACTGCTCAGATGGCTGTAACAGCTGGAACTGGGCCAACTGGAGCCAGGAGCCAGGAGCTTCATCCAGTCCAAGCACTTGGGCCATCCTCTGGTGCCCTTCCGAGGCCATTAGCAGGGAGCTGGGTCAGAAATGGAGCAGCCAGGACCTGAATCAGTACCCATAGGGGATGCCGGGGTTGCAGGCTTCGGCTTTACCCACTGCACCACAGCGCCAGACCTGATTTTTTTTTTTAAGATTTATTTATTTATTTATTTGAAAGGTAGAGTTACAGAGAGGCAGAGAGAGAGAGGTAGAGAGAGGTCTTCCATCTGCTGGTTCACTCCCCAGATAACTGCAGTGGCTGGAGCTGCGTCGATCTGAAGCCAGGAGCCAGGAGCTTCTTCCGGGTCTCCCACATGGCTGCAGGGGCCCAAGGACTTGGACCATCTTCTACTGCTTTCCCAGGCCGTAGCTGAGGGTTGGATTGGAAGTGGAGCAGCTGGATCAAACCATTGCTCATATTGGATACTGGAATCTAAGACTGAGGCTTAACCTGCTATACTATAATGCTGGCCCCATGCTTACACATTAAAATTGGATTCACTTAACCTTCAATATAGGTTTTCCTGAGCTGCAGGCTCATTTTGGCAAAGCTTACTGGTTCATCATTCTAGCTAGATAAATTGTATAGTGTATGATAATTAGTGATACTCAGTGTTTTAAA